TCTTCTTGTAAACTATGCTTAATTATTAGGAGCAATCTGTTGGATCTGTGTCTGTACACTCTATTGGGTTATCACCACTAACCCTTTGTATTTCTTTTTTTTTTTTTGGAAAAACATTTTATTGTCGGGGCATAACAACATGTCCAATATTATAACATTCCCTCATTTCTATTATAGCCCTTTCCCCTTCCTCCCTCCCTCCCCTTCTCCGGGCTTCCCCCAGCGATCTCACCCCTACCTAGTTTCATTTCTTGTCTAATCCTTTCTCCTAAAACAAAGCTTAATAGATAATTATTATTTTGACTACCTTTTTCATATATTCTATCTTTTAGGTAACATTTCTTTAACTACCATCGTCTTCTGTTCAACTCTTTACAACATCCTATTCTTAATAATTATTAAAGCACAATAAATTGTTCTTAACATCCCAGTATTTCTCTAGATACACTTTAAAGTCCATCCAGTCTGCAAAAAAATCTTCATCTTCCTTGTTGTTAAGTTTCCTTGTCAGTTTGTCCATTTCTGCCATAAAAAGCATTTTTCTAATCCATTCCCAAACCTCAGGTACTCGGTCTTGTTTCCCTAAGCCTTTGTATTTCAATGAATGCAATATATAGTTTTCAGCACAGATAGTTGTGAATTGTAGATGGTCTTCCCTTGGTGGGTGTTGTTTGTGGCTATACGTGTACACTAAGGGTTTCCTATTGTCTTTGGCATGATTCAGTATGAGGCAGCTGCGTGTGTTCCTGTGGTTTTTGAAATGCCTGGGAACTCCTGGACACCTAGTTTGAGTTTCTTTTTTCGTGTGTGTGCGTGCGCCTGGAATTCATGGCTGACGTCTGGTGACCCCTAGTGGGGATTGGAAAGCAAGGGACATTCAGAGAGGTGGCTTGCTATTGCCTGCCTCTGCGTCCCAGTCCTGGTATTCCTTGGAGGGGTCCCTCCCAAGTACTTGCCAGGGTTGGCCCTGCTTAACGTCCGAGATCTGACAAGATCTGGCTTGCCTGGGCTATCCAGGTCAGGGCTAATTTGAGTTTCTTGTTGAAAAATTCAGAACAGCAGAGAAAACCTGCCACTGTCTTTCAGTCCCCCCTGAGACAACTAACCTCCCACTGTCTGTTTTCCTTTGTGATGCATAGCCACAAGGAGAATGCAAGAAGCACACCCTTTCTGAAAGGCCTGAGTAGCAGGGGCTGAGAGCAGAGCTTCCCACAGAGTCCTCGAAAGGCACTGAGGTACCACAGAGTCCTCAGAGCCAACAAAAGGCACTGAGGTACCAGAGTGGATTAGTCGATGCAGGAAAAATTTCCTGAGGATATTATCCATGAAAGCCATAGGTCTAGGATGTAAAGTCATGATGACAGTTCAATATAGTTTGCTCGAGGTGGTTTCCAAGGTGATTTTTTGTGTGTGTGTCGACTTGCTGAACGCTTGAAATATAAAGTGAACGTTGGCTCCTCTGTGGCTGAGCATCTGGGCTGAGAGGGTTTTTTGGCTGCTTGTACGGTAGCCTGCCACGACCTGTCCGAAGGTGTTCCGTGGCAGGGCCTGAAGAGCATGTCCTGCCTGCATAATTTTTTTTTTTAAAAAAACAACATTTTCCCCAGCACAATTTCTTCAAGAATCTCTGGCTTTCGTCCCAAACACACTGTGGTCAGAGGGCGGCGACAGTTCTTCTAGGTTTGCCAACCTCCAGATGGGGACTGACGATCTCTTGGAATTACCCCTGGTCTCCAGAGGACAGAGATCAGTTCCCCTGGAGAAAATGGTTGGCTTGGAGGGTGGTCTCTGTGGCCTCGCACCCTGCTGAGGTCCCTCTCCTCCCTAAACCCCACCTGCACCAAGTTCCACCTCCAAAATTTCCAGGAATTTCACAACCCAGAGTTGGGAACCCTGTATTCATCCTTGACCTCATGGAAATGGCCAGGTGTGCATGGAGCCCACTTCATAAACCATCTCTAATGTCCTCCCAAGGAGAGAGGAGAATTTTGTCACTCCCCCTATAGCTGTAGTTCTCAGACTGTGGGTTGTGACCCCAAAGTGAATCACAGATGTCTTGCAAGGACATCAAACTCCCGCCGTAGGAAAAGGCAAAGGGAGAGTGGAGTGGGATTCCCCCTTTTTCTTTGTCCCACACCCCCATTTATTCCCAGTGATTCCACTTGCTCCCAGTTCCCAGTGGTTTGGCAGGTGATGGGCATAGCCTCTGCCCATTCCCTCCCTGACCTGTAATGCCAGCGGCCTGAGGTGCTGTTAGTGGAGGGTCCCAGAAAATAGGATAGGTTTAGAAGTGGGTTCCGCTTCAAAAAAGTGTGAGAACCACTGTTCTTCCGTTTCCTGGATCTTACTGGTCAGCTGCAATAAAAATTTCCCACAGGATGTTATAGACAGTAGCATTTATCCAGCCAGCCATGGGCTCTGCAGAGTGAGACTTTCCCACCACAACCACTCTGCTCCCCTCCCCATGCTGCTCCAGGGGGAGGGTCCGACAAGCACTCAAGAACAACATAGGAGGCAAAGGCAATAGGAGGGAAGATATGCTGGGAATTGCTGGCTCCTCTTCCATAAACAGAAATGCCATTCCATCAAAGGAAGGGACTACGTGGTCAGATACAGGCGAGCAAACCTACCAAGAGGTTCCCATTCACCGTGTGGTAAGTTGCCACATCAAATCCCCCGTAGATTTCTTGAGTACGGGAAACCGTACCATGTCTTGCCATCTGACCCGCATTGAGTCCCATCCAACTCATTAGGCCTCCTCCCTCCCATCTGGTGTCTCCATCTTGGAAATGTGGACAAAATAAAGCAACTGATTGTCCAGTTTTATGATTCTAGGCCTTTTCCACGCTGTTGTGTGCCTTGGCCCAATTTGCTCTTTCTGAAGAAAGGGAGTATTAGTAAGCTTCCTTAGATTTTGTTTTGTTTCCCCCCCTCCTCTCTCTTGTAGCTATTCTTGGCATGCATACCCTGATGAGTAACCAGCAGTACTATGGGGCACTTGGAACCACAACCATCGTCAACAAGGAAGGCCTAGACAGTAAGTAAGGCCTCCTCAGATTCAAGATAACTGAGCCAAAAGAGGCTTGTAACTTGTGTTTATCCCAGCCTTTCATTTAATTAATTTCCTGTCATTTGTTTACATTTTCTCCAAGTGTTGTATTTCAACATGAGCTCTCAAACAGCATCGGATCTAATCTGTTCCTGTCCACAGGAACACTTGACTGAGGCAAATTGGCCTGAAGGATAAGTGATCCTCAGTTGCTTGTGTTTGAACCCCAACTTTTTTTCTTTTCTTTTTTCACAACATGTAGCCCCAGAACTTCGTCTAAAGCCTTTTGTTCTTATTCAGAATCTGAGCCCCAGTATAGTCATGTAAGGGTTGCTCTCCTTCAGGTGGGCCTGGAGATCCTCTGGAATTCTAAGTGATAGCCACACGCGGCAGATACGGATGGAGAAAATGGCTGCTTTGGAGGGCGGACTCTTGCTGATCTCCCTCCTTCCCCAAACCCCATCCTCCTCAGGCTCTGCCCCCAAATCACCAGATGTTTCTTAACCTCAAGCTGGTGACCCTTTTTCCACATTATTCAAATTGTTTGCTGATTATACCACTCAAGTGTGTTACCTTATTGTGTTCTCTAACTGATACTTAGCATCTACTCCTGTTTAGAAAATGTTGGGAAGGATCATAGAAAACATCTCTCTACTTAGTTTATGTCAGGATTTTAGGGTTGCCACACCCCCAGGTTTGGCAGGGGTCCCCCACTTTTTTGGGACTTCTACTTGCTGCTGGCCACCAGAGGAAGCCCCGCCCCCCAAGCCCCAACACCCGCGGCCACCACTCTCCCTTCTCTCTTGAGAGAGAGGAGTGCGTGAGGAGGGAGAGGGGGGCGCGTGGGGGGGGGAACACCAGCTCCTTTAAGTGCAGGAAGCCGGCGTTTCCCACACACCCGATCTCTGTCGGGTGCGCGGAGGGGAACACCAGCTGTCTGCACTTAAAGGGGCCCCTTTAAATGCAGGGAGCTGGCGTTTCCTGCACACCTGATCTCAGTGGAGATCGGGTGCGCGGGGGGGGGGGGAACACCAGCTCTTTGCACTTAAAGGGGCCCCTTTAAGTGCAGGGAGCTGATGCTCCTGGAAGATCGGGCGGGCGGGGGGACATCCCCAATAATGACGTCATCATGTTGGGGATGCCCCGCTCCTTCTCAGGCACTCCTATGAAACCAGCGAAACTTGTCTAGGTAAAAGCCAGATTTAGCCTGATCTACACCCCCCCCCCCTTGAGGTTCTCCCCATGGGGGGTGTGGGAGTGAGGGCTGGAGTTCTTCTGGAATTTCAACTGATCTTCAGGCTACAGAGATCAACTCCCCTGAAGAAAATGGCTGCTTTGGAGGGTGGACTCTGTGGCCACCACATTCCTGTTGACCTTCATCCCTAAACCCCACAGCCCCCAGGCTCCACCTCTAAATCTCCAGGAATTTTCTGACGCGGAGTTGGCAACCCTGCTTTGTATAAAGGGGCAACTGCCCCAGATTTATTTATTTCGTTTATAGTCCACCTTTATCACTGAGGCTTGAGGCAGACTAGACAGTGAATAACAATGCAGTAAGAACAGTATAAAGCACACAACCAGTAGTGAATAACACTGGATTATAAAATTAGAGAACAAGGCATTACAAACAGTATAATACGTACAACATGATAGTATAACGCTAACAAATAATGCTGCGGGACTGAATTGCAAAACTGTAGCGCAATGCAGTGATGATATATATGAGGAACAGATGAAAACTGCCTCGCTTTCACAGACCTTGGCTACAGCCTTATTCTCTATTATAAAAATGGCCTCCAGATATGTAATTAGCCTGCCTTGACAAATCCATAAACAGTTTGATTCATGATTAGGATGCATTTTTTCAAAGATGCTAGCATGAAAATATTTATAGTAGTTTCCCTTAGACTACCCAAGCTGAGCTGAGACTAGTATTATGCATTGGTGGGGGGCTTGTTTTTCAAAAACAATTGCCCATGTACTGCCAAAACCTGTTTGTTTTATGGGCTTGCCTACAGTTTTAAGAAGGCACTGTCCTTATTTCATGGATTGTGCAGCAACTTACCTATTATATCTGTTAATATTATATTAGGGAGGGTGGGATAAAAATATAATGTAATTAATATTCAACCTATTATAGGTGAGTTCTATTTGAATTCAAAATTCAGTACAGTCAGGTTCCCATAATGAACAGGAGCCACAAGAAATGGTAGATATCAAGAACATCAGGGATCATACAGGCAGCCTTGACAGTCAGGAACCAGTTCCGTACTCTTTATAGGCTGGATCCAGACAAAATTTTCCACTCCAGAAGACACTTGGGGCTTTTCCACAGTCTCATTTGTTTCTTGTTTTGCTCCCTCTAGTGGTCAGTTTGGTATCACACCGTTTTATGTCTGGCATAAGCGTGTGTGATATCAAATTGACCATTAGAGGGAACAAAACATGTGTGGAACAGGGAAAATCCCCTGAAGAAACAGGAACTTACAAGCAAGGAAAATGAAAATGCAGAAAAACCCTTAGTCAGCAGAAGAGAACTCCCCCCCCTCCCATTGCAGCCCATGGATCTCCCTGAAATGCTGCTCTTGGGGAACAAAAAGACCTTCAGGAATGGCCCGAGGGGTGAATCTGGAATCTGCAGCTGGAAGGGGGAAATTGGCGTAAATTACATCTCTCTTTCCATTCATGGAAACGTCATTCTACGTCCAACCCAATACCATAAGCAGTCAGAGGAAAGGGGACTTCTTACCCCACCCCACTGTTTTACTCTTTCCTTGCAGGTATAATTAAGCCTACACAGTATAAACCAGTTCCTGATGAACCAAATTCAACTGATATAGAAGAAACCTTAGAAAGAGTGAGAAACAATGATCCGGAACTTGAAGAGGTCAATCTCAACAATATTAAGGTATGGACTTTTTTCTTGGTAAGTTTACATCCCATAACAAGAGGGGAGAGTACATCTGAGGCACAGTTCACTCGATAATTCCTCTTCCTAAACCCCATTGAAATGAATGTGAGCTATGTGAGGGCATTACAATGGATCTTACACAGGAGAACATCCAGTGGGTAGGCTTGGCATTTACCTGACCACAGCGGGCAAACCCCCACCCTTGGCCCCTGAAAAGTATGCAGACGGAGAGTGATTCAGCTAAGCATACCTTTATTTAGTTGAGAACAAAGACAACTGACCGGCTCGCAGGCCGGCTTATATTCGTTCAGAAAACCCGCCACCAGGCTCGCCTAAACACACACCCCACTCCCGATAGGCTATTTACAGTAACCGAGAGACCTATTGGCCTCCCGGCTGGGGACCTAGCCCTTTCATTGGGCCTGGCTAGGATCCTACTGGCCCATTGTCTTTCGGCATGAAGCTATTGAGGTTTGTGCCTGGCCAGTCCGGACATGTCAGGCTGAATACATTACAGCCCCAGTCCCCTTGATGATTTGAGGAGTGGAGAAAAAAAATGGGGGATAGCATTGACAGTGAAGCGCTAAGAATCTCTCTGATCTCTATGGTTAAGACCATAGAGATTGTAAGGATTCCTAGAACAATGGGTGTAATCGATGTCACTTGTGGGTGGAGGGTTGGACCATGTGACATCACGTCAGCATGATTCCTTACAATCTTTATGCTCTTTGCGATTGAGATTGCGGGAATCCCTAGAGCATCACAGAGAAGGTGACATCACGTCACTGGAACTCCACCTGCCCAAGGCAGTGCCTGAAAAATCTGGCATTTGACAGTGCGAGGCTAACAACCCTACAGTTCCGGTCTACAAACACAGCAGAATATATAAAATTCTGTCCCGGTAGAGTGGATTGTACTGTCTAATTTTGCTGTTGATGGTCCCATTTTTAAATACTTCTTGCACATAAAATGGTTCCTGTAAATCTAGCCAGATCTCTCCCTGCGTTCTCATTTCTCTGGTACAGTGTAGATGCTGTCTCTATTTATTATCAAAGAAAATAATTACATTATTTTGGGGGGTTGGTGGTGGGGCTGTTGTCCCCCCCCCCCACTTTTCTTTATAATGTTCCTGAAAGATACCTGATGGTATAGGAATGTTATAAAACAGGAACCCCCAGAAGGTTAAAGCTGGAAGTATTTTAATTGTGCTGATTAGCAGATGTTGAGTAAATGACTGACTGGTACTAAAAATTGCTACTGAGAATAACAGGACTAAAGGAGAGAACTACAGTTTCATTTCACCCCGCCTGCGTCCCCAAACCTACTGGGAGAAATACATGAGACAAAGATTGTATGTTTTGGTCTTTAAAACACAAATGGCAGGAGTGTGGAGCCTCTCTTTGTACCAGGCCATGATGGGAAGGGAGAGTGGGTTCATTCCTTCATCCTCACTAATCAGACCCAGCGCCAACATTTAAGAACTACTTTGAGGACTCAGCCCCTTAGCTAGGGAATTCTTTGAGAGG